TCCAAAACAATAGTTTCTTTATTGATGAAAAAGAAGTACATGTTGTGGTCGGGCGATACAGTTCCAAAATTCAACCCGACCAAAGCAAAAGAAAAGGTGAATACAAGTCCTCGGTTTGGATAAGGAGTCTCAGGCCCGTCATTAAAAGGGATGCTCACCAACATGTCAATGTTCTGATCCTCTAGCTGGTCGGCAAACGGGTCCGACTCCAATTCCAGGTCCGAGTACCTCACTCGAAAACAAGCATAGGCCACTCGATATCCAAACTCGTACGTCACCCGCCCCGACCTCACCAGGCCATGCTCGAACCCGGTGGACGCCTTGTACTCAGCGATCGCCCCTTTGATCTTCTCGAGCAGCGCCAGCCGCTCCTCCTTCAGGACCTCTTCAACGATTCAAGCCGAAGACCTGGCAGTCTCGACGTTGTGGGAGAGGGTCAGCAACTTGTCATCCAACGTCTAGATACGGGATCAACTTTCCTCCAACTCGGCCTTCAGATGGTTCACCTCCTCGTCTAAAGCCGAGGCATGCTACTCAGCTACAACCATGACCTCTAGACCAAATGCACTCCTCAACTCCAAGTCCTCCAGGCGAAGAGCGTCATAAACGTCCGACTGGCACTTGATCATCCGCTCGATGATCATCTGCCCGACGTCAAGGACCCGGTTGATCGGTGCCATGGTATACTATTGGCCTTGCACCAAAATTAACGTCAAGACCCACCCTAAAGAAGGAAGAATCAAAAAGAGGAGTGCCACCACTTACCCAGACCAATGACTTGGCTGCCCGGTCCACCAGTACCTCCAAGGAGGAGCAATAAAGCTCCCTGGCCATGGCCGGGTGAAGCACCCCCCGAATGAACTCTTGGGCAGTCGGCCCATCAGCCCAAATATGACTATCGGCCTTAAGGCTCACCCACCGAGGGGTGTAGGGGGGTCCCGACTCCCTAGCAAGAAGGTCGACCATGCTTAGGGCCTGGAACTGTTCGCCTTCGGCCCAAGGGCGGACGCGACACAAATCCCGCATCAACTTCGGGCGTGCTGGTGCCCTCTTCCCGGGGTCATCGTCGGACGATCTAGCCACCCTTTTTGCCTTTCACACTCCCCAAGCCTTCGCCTTGGGGGGCAACCCCGGACGACCTCGGGATGACACTCTCACGAGTAGCCGAGCTCGCAGACGTCTTCTGGACCACGGTCATCGCCTTCTTCTGAGGGCGACTGGCCTTTGGGGATCCCGGCGCCCTCCTCGATGTGCCCTTCTGCGGGGCATCCCCAGCTCTGGAACCCTCGCCACCCCGAGATGGTGGCACAACGGCCTTGGTGTGAGGTATCCTCTTCACAGACTGAAGATCCACCATCCCTGCAAGGAAAAGCCCGGTTGGTCAAATAGCTCGGGATGAGCGGATGATCCATAATATACGAATAACCATACCCCCAGTGGCCGACTGCCTAGGAGTTCATCCGGGGGGTGCTTCACCCGGCCATGGCCAGGGAGCTTTATTGCTCCTCCTTGGAGGTATTGGCGGACCGAGCGGCCAAGTCATTGGTCTGGGTAAGTGGTGGCACTCCTCTTTTTGATTCTTCCTTCTTTAGGGTGGGTCTTGAAGTTAATTTTGGTGCAAGGCCAACAGTATACCATGGCACCGATCGACCACCGAGTCCACATTATGCCACGACTTAGAGTTTCAAGCACAGTAGAGCTCCCTGTGGCCTCCGAGGGAGTGCCACCGGAGGACACACTGATGACTTCAGCTCGCAGGCCCCTAGAAGGAGAAGATGAAGAAGAGGAAGATGAGGAAGAAGAAGAAGAAGATGATGAAGACGGAGACATCCCGACCTCAAGGTTGGAAGGAAGAAGCCAGGGCGCAGGACAAAGGACTGAGCAAAAGTGATGGCAATTGCTTTGGAAGAAGCTTATAAAGGGCAGGCTACTCCACTGGGAGATGATGGTTAGGCTTCCCGAGGAGAGAGATGGTCGCAGCATTTTAAACCCATCATAACTCCTCAGATTCGCCAGATTCGTCGGTCTCGGAGCCCCCGCTAAAGGCACCTCGTCACCAGAAATATCCCACCAGAAGCCATTCGAAATAAGAAGTTCCCGCTAGGACCCACATCGCTCCACTCGGCTCGCCACGTGGTGTGGTGGCACCCGGGCAAAATCCAACGCATCGCCCAATGATACCCCCCTAGTCTTCATTCGAGTCGCTCTAGATCGGTTCCTGACTTGTGACTCGTCGACACCAAACCTAAGCTTGAGATCAATCACTCAGCCCATAGGTCTAGTCCTCGCCCGGGTCGCTCTAGATCAGTTCTCGACTTGCGACTCGTTAGCACCAAACCTGAGCCCGAGATCAGTCACTCGGTCCATAAGTCTCATCCTTGCCCGAGTCGCTCTAAATAGGTTCCCGACTTGCGACTCGTCGGCACCAAACCTGAGCCCGAGATTAGTCACTCGGCCCAAAGGTCCCATCCTTGCCTGAGTCGCTCCGGATCGGTTCCCGACTTGTGATTTATCGGCACCAAACTTGAGCCCGAGATTAGTCACTTGGCCCACAGGTTCCGTCCTTACCCGAGTCGCTCCAGATCGGTCCTCGACTTGTGACTCATTGGCATCAAACCTGAGCCCGAGATCAGTCACTCGGCCTACAAGTCCAGTCCTCGCCCGGGTCGTTCTAGATCGGTTCCCGACCAACGACTCACCAACATCATCCTGCATGGGCCCAGCCACCCGACCGAGCATGCAAAATCATTCCCAAAGCGCATGGCACCACCCTCGAACTGCCTCACGATAAGCTAATCCAGCTCCCCCCGAAAGCAAACAATGCAACCGTGGCATTCCAACCCTCTCTCACCCTCTCAAGGACCCCACGACACGCTTCGATCAAGGAGGGAGAAGTGATAAGGTACATTTTGGCTCCAGGCCACGTCACGCTATAGCAAAGTCAGCAAGGGGAGCACCCCCATGTGCCGAGCCAGAGACCGTACCAAGATGCTACTCGGTGTGTCCCAATCCGGTAAGACCGGGACGATGTCGTATGGTAGTGTTCCGCACGTCCCAAGACGGCGGCCGCACAAAGGTACCATCTTACATCTCGAGGATCGGTCGCCATGCCAAACCCGCGTACGATCGACCCTCGTACAATAGTATAAAAGCCACTAGTCGGCATCCGACCCAACGAAAAAAAAAGGAGAAGAGAGAACCCCACACTGACTGATTGGTTAAGGGATCATAGTCGGTAATCACCCGACGAGGCCTTCTGTGTAGGAGAGCGATCATTCCCAAAGCAATATCATTTCGATCAAGAGAGATCGCCTCCCCCCTACGTGTCCACCAGCATCCCGGCGGAGAGCCATCAACCAACATCTCGAGTAAGAGCCACCAACTAGCTTTCCGACCTCGGCAACTTGCTCAGACGATCGAAGACTTCCAGCATCAACCTGTGAACCAAGCTTGCTGACTGTTCAACCACGGTGCATTTGTTCACGCTGACTGATCAACCATGGTAAATTTGTTCACCAACACATGTTTCCAGCTTCTTATCTTCCACTTGTGGCCACAAAAATGGGTGGGAGATAATATCCGAACTCGATTATTGTTCTGCAGCAGTGCTGTGCTGCACAACAATTCAATTATTGGGGCCTTCATTCTATTACCCTCTTTATGGAGAGTGGTGGCATTAGGTTGAGAATAAATATCATGAGTGTGTATAAGAGCATCACAGTATCCATGACTCAGATTCCAAAGAATTTGAGGAATACGAAAGGGAATTTATTGAATGGCAGGATGAACGCAAACATAACAAAATCTGACCACCACTCTGATTCCTTTCGGTGTCGACAAGGATATGATGCAACACTCGTCATATGTCTACACTCAAATGCTTCGGTGCTTTCACATCGGCACCATATCAGAATGATCACTCAGAGATGAACGTGACAGAGCATCTCAATACGGCATACTTCACAACCCATGTGGTCTCATCCGCACGATAGATAGGCATGCTTCCGACCACTAACGTCAGAAGAGATTAATTGTTTCGTTAATGCTGACATGTTTTCTGTACCACTACTTTGCAATCAGACCAGACAACACATCTATCAGCGCAGCACAAGATACGAAGGAGAGATAAGATAAGAGGCAAAGGATCTCCGAGAGATTTGATATTCTAAGAATTATATAAGTTACAATGATGAAATCTCTCTATACCATCTCTTCCCTTTTTCACTCCATTCCATGCCCTTCTTTTGCCTCGATATTTTCTCTTGCGTTATAAGCTCTTCCGATCAATCCCCGACGCCTTTCTTTTCCGAGAATAACTCTTGGCCGAATTGATTGATGAAATAGGGTCGATGAGTTCCACCGACGCTGACCACAACCATCGCCGTTCATCACTACGTGCTACCGGTAAGGAAACAACCACGGCCACGGGAGAGAGAGCGAGAGAGCGACGAATGGGTCACGCGGCCACCCCCACCACACACGCCTTTTCCTCGGGTGGGTGGAACGCAGGATTCAGCAACACTAAGACAGCCATGCTTTTAACTTGGAGGCTCGTGATTTGCCGGATTCCATCCGTCCCTATGTCGTCCTCCGCGGAGTAGGACGGCCGCTCCTCGCCACCCGACGCATCCCTTGTGGAATCGATCGCTTTCTTTGCTTGAAGCCACCTGTGGTGACGTGTTTCTGATGCGATGTGAAGCGAGTCTGTATCAAAGCAGTGTCGCCTGTTTATCGATAGAATCATATTAGTACAGGCTTAGAGAATGAAACTACCTCGTCCTGCCGCCAGAGGAAGCTTACAGTCGATGCATGCATGATCTACAGGACCACGGCAACAGCAACTCTTGCCGGCAGAGTGGGCGAGCTGAACATGAACAGAATGGAGCAAAGCAAGGGATGATGCAGTTTGATTAGAGATGTTTACTTGAAGAAGAAGAAGAAGAAGAGTTGAAGACAAATGCATCAACTGTACATACATCCCTTCAGCAATTATGTATAAGTCTCATGCCAACACTATATTTTTTATATGCTCTGATTCTTAAACAATTTATGATTTAAGAAATATAAAATTACATTAATATATAAACAAACATATCAAACAACAAGACAACATTTAGCTTTATGGATTTTAGGCTTATTAGAGCGACTTTGCATCACATGTTACGATCAGTCGTCAGCAGCCTTCTCACCACGACCAACACGTGCACCACTATGCCGCACACGAACCCGAGCGCCGCGCTGGAGCCGACCAGCGACACCGCGGCGCAGATGAGCATCACGAACGACTCCGCCTTGCTCGACATGTCCCTCGCCGCCATGGCCAATTCCACTCCGGCGAACAGCAGCAGTACGCCCAGCAGCCCTACCGGGAACTCCACCAGCAGCCTCAGCAGCGAACCCCCCAGCACCAGCCCCACCGCCAGCTTCGCCGCCCCCAGCAGAGCCACGCACGCGCCGGACCGCCCGCCGAACTTGTACTGCCCCGCCAGTCCCCCCGCGCCGTGGCAGCACGGCATCGCCCCGAACCAGCAGCCCACCAGGTTCATCAGCCCTACCGTGATCGACACCGACGTCGCCGATGCGACCTTGTCGGGGAACAAGTCGGTCGTCAGCATGCACACCGCGATCACGGAGTTGAGCACCGACAGCGGCAGCTGCGGCACTGCGCCCTTGATGAATCCTTCCTTCCATGCGTGCTTGGAGATCTTCACTACGTGGATGCGCGATGGACCTGCTTTCAACTCTTTCACCACGCCGGGCTCCCTTATTATATCTAAGATTATGCCGAGCACGAAGACAACAACAGCTGAAGGAACAGAGAATATCACTTTCCTCCAAGACTTGGCTCTTCTTCGTCCCCCGCCTTGTTCATGGATGACTTGCTCCTCCCGACCCTGTTCTGCTGCCTCACCAGCACCGTTGACGATCACGACGAACACGGTGGCCGCTATGGCCAAGACCAAGCCGTCGAGGCCCATCCAACGCCTGTCGCCAGAAGCCTTGCCTTTGGCGAGATCCTGGTCGTACCTGACGTACTTGACGGCGGTCATCGCGAAGGACAGGCCTTGAGCCAGCTGAATGCCGCGAACAACGGGGAGGGGGATGAACTTGTACGCAAGCTCCATGAGACGAGTTGCACCCAGCAAAAACACCACCGCGGAGGTGCATATTCCGGCGGCCATGATCTCCGGCACGCCGAAGCTCGCGGTGGAGATGGCCACGGCCGCGATGGACTTCATGGGCTGGACAGGCATGGGCACGCCGTAGATGAAACCGGTGATGATGTTGTAGACGCCGGTGAAGACGAGGGTGGTGCCGAGGTCGAGGTCCTTGGCGAGCGCCAGGGCCATGATGATGGGGATGTAGGTGCCCAGGTCACCCAAGGCGCCGTTGACCTCCGCCCACCTCGACCGGAAGAGAAGGTTGGCGCGGGCCGCAGCGACGATCGTCGCGGGGATACCGCGATCCGGCTTGTCCTCGACGGTATCGCCATCGCAGGGGTTGACCGCGTTGGTGGCCATGATGCTTGTGTTCGTTCGACCTTGGTTTCGGCGTCGACCGCTATATATATAGAAGCGAGAGCGCCTTGGTTTGGTGCTTTCGGCCGAGTGCCGATGGTGGTGGTCCTTCGGAATCATGAAGGGCCAACTACGAGAGGAGCCTAAGAGAGAAGTCGGCGTCAACTGTGGCACATTTTGGGTATGATGGATGATCACGTTGGGAGATGGAGGATTGATGACAGCAAGCGAAGGCAGCAGTGCTTGCCATCTCTTTATGTTGACATCCACAAAATAATGCTTCCTTCTCTGTTCACTGTATATTAAATCTTGTATATTAATTGTGTATAACTGCAAAATTGAATGTTCTTATCTGCGGAAGGCTCGAAGTGAGTGCCAAGCAATGAATTTTCTATCTTCGAGTGAGATCATTATATACCATTGTTGTGGGAAGATACATATATATATATGCTTATGAGAAGAGAAAGACTCCACTAGAAAAGATCTGCTTGCTAAAACCATTTCTTTGCAGATTGGTCGCAATTAGATGACGATTATATTTATCAAGATAACATTGCATTTATTTGATATCATTAGATACTTACTAACCATTTGATTAAGCCAGAATTAATTATTTCATAGTTATTTTTTTTGCCTTAATCTAGCAATGTTTGGTGAAGTTAGTACCTGATTGGTAATATGCTTTAGATGTCACCAGCTTCTCTTTGAAAGAAATGAAACGCTAAAGCAAAGCGAAAGCAAAAGCTAAAAGCTAAAAGCTCCAAAGTTGGGACCTCGATGCACAAGATTTGATTGTCAAGAATCCCCCTTGGCCAAAGCAAAGAATCCAGCGGCAATGTCTTCGGCTACTTGTCCCTTCGCCGCTATCTCCTTGTCTGTTCTTGTCTTTTCGTGCAGCTGGTTGCGGAAGAAACCATGGCCGCAGCCATTTCCACTCTCTCCATCCTCCTCATGGTTTGGACGATCAAAGGTACCTCACCATCCTTTTGTATCTGTCGGTGATATGTGTCGGCTCCTTTGTGATCTCTGCTCTGTTCGTTGATTCAGCTGTTGATGGAGCCGGCATTGGCATCAGCTACGGCAGAGCCGCAAGCAATCTCCCCCCACCCGTCCAAGTCGCGCAGTTCCTCGCCCACGGCACCACCTTCGACTGCGTCAAACTCTTCGACGCCGACCCCGCCACCGTGCAGGCCTTCGCCAACACCGACCTCGCCGTCGACGTCACCGTGCCGAACGACCTCGTCGCCAACCTCACCGACCTCAGATTCGCCCACAAATGGGTGCGAACCAACATCGTCCCTCGTGTCGACGACACCAACATCGCCCGCATACTCGTCGGCAACGAGGTGATCTCCACGGCCAACAGGTCACTGGTCTCCAGCCTCGTGCCGGCCATGCAGAACCTGCACACCGTCCTCACCAGCTTGTCGCTGCAGCACCGCATCAAGGTCGCTTCCCCGCAGTCCCTCGGCGTCCTCTCCACCTCCAACCCCCCGTCCACCGGAAAGTTCAGGGAAGGGCGTGTCGCCGAGGTGATGAGGCCGTTGCTGAGCTTCTTGAGAGCCACCGGCTCCCCTTTCATGGTGAACGCGTACCCGTTCTTCGGATTCGCCGTCGACACGATCGACTACGCCCTGTTCCGGCCGAACCCCGGCGTGGAGGACCAGAACACGGGGCTGGTCTACTCCAACATGTTGGACGGGCAACTGGACGCCGTCTTCTCCGCCATGAAGCGCTTGGGCTTCGACGACGTCGACATCGTGATATCCGAGACGGGATGGCCGTCGGTCGGCGACCCACGGGAGCTTGGCATCAACGTCGATAACGCCCGGGACTACAACAAGAACCTGGTGCAGCACGTCTCTTCCGGCACCGGCACGCCGCTCATGCCCAACCGCACCTTCGAGGCGTACATCTTCTCGCTCTTCGAAGAGAACCTGAAGCCCGGGCCTCTCTCCCAGCGGAACTTCGGCCTGTTTCATCCTGATCTGCTGCCCGTCTACGATATCGGAGTCCTAACAACAGAGGTAGAGAGCCTCGTTCCCAATAACATCAGACCAACGCAGGTGGATCTTCTTCTCTTGTCTTCTTCTTGCAGGTGGGAGGTCAGGCCACTGCTCCAGTGCAAACACTGAACCCAACACCCTCCGATTCAAAGCGATGGTGCATTCCGAAGCCGAACACCGACGTCCTGTTGTTGCAGCAGAACGTCGAGTATGTCTGTGGGCAAGGCATCGACTGCACTCCGATTCAATCAGGTGGTGTCTGCTACTTTCCGGACACGGTGCCGGCCCACGCTGCTTTCCTCATGAACGAGTACTACCAAACCTTCGGAAGAAACGCATTCGACTGCGACTTCGGACGGACCGGCATGATCACCGCCATCGATCCAAGTATGCATCCAACGCTCGGTTCCGGTTTGCTTCCATTGCGAACGAGAACTCTTATCCGCTGATGTTCCTGTGCAGGCTACGGGAGCTGCGTGTATAGCTCATGAACTGGAGACGGTGCACTCCGCTCATTACATCATAGATTTCTTTCTACATATGTGATGCTTTTAGAGTTCTCCGGTGTGCTTCCCTCTTCTTCCTCAATCGTTCCTCATCTACTAATCTAATTCTTTACTCAGGAATTTAAAATGATACCAAAAATATAAATTGAGATCATATTTTATTTGCTGATTTAAGCTTTAAATACAATGTGGCCGATCAGAGGTATCGGCCATAAAAGATGTGCCAATAATATGTCACTGCAATAAAAGATGCATCAGAGAGCATTTTAATTAGATGGCGAAGCCAATCATATTTTTGTGGCATGCCAAATCAGGGTGACGTGTCCGACCTGTATCATTCTAAACATAAGAAAGCTACGTACGATTTTGACCGCTCCACGGTATATAGTATCCGCGCATCAATCACCGAACCCGCTGCGAGGAGACCCGCCGTCTAATGTGGGACCAAAATCTTACGCCAATAAGAGATTTGTATTTCTTAGGCCCTGCCCGGATCAAGACAGGAGAAATCGAACCTAGAGGATGTGATGCCCTGTCTGGGTCCGAACCCGATATGTGGCTGCACCTCGAATATCTGATATCTGTCGGCTGCGTGGCCCACATGGTTTGACCAATTGGGGGTTCTTCTTTCTTAAACCCTGAATGGAGAGACACAGGGGAACTGCACGACTAGGAGGGGACGGGATATCTGGATCCGTACCCGATAAAAGGCAGCCCTTCCTCCTCTCCGAGATTATTTCTGGTTCGCTCTTCTATTCCACAGGCGGAGAGAAGAGGCCACGGTTTGAGGCCCGGCCATCGGCGGCGACATGTTCCCCAAAGAATGGGCTCCGCCCTGCGGCAGCTGCTGCACCAAGAAGTACGCCAATCTCGTCCAGATCCCATGTTCGTATCCCCCGCTCTTCTATTCATTTTTCCTTCTCTGCTTGGATGATTTTCCGGTACGATGCGCCAAGAAAGGCTTGATATCCGTATAATTTATCATATTTCGAGGAGGATAAGTGTTCTTGCATTCTAATTCGTCGTTTTGATGAAAAGAGACACGATCTTGGCGTCGATGTCTTGTCTTTTTGATTTGGGAGAACGCGGTGGACATCTGAAGTATTATGACTCAATGCAGGGAGAATCTTCTGCAAGAAGGGATGCGATGCCGATGGGGAAACCTGGGAAGAATGTAAGCACGCCCATGTCCTCGGTCCTTGTTCTTAAACGTCTCAATTTTATTAATGGAATTTAGTTCCGTGTGAAATGATTTCGATCTAATTTGTCGTTCATAAGCATTCACAATATGGTCGAAGTTGAATTCCATTAAATTCATTGGACATAATCTTTTATGGAATGAGAATTCTGTTTTTTTAGACAATAACCAGCTGAATCACCTGATAGGTAGGATGTTTAAATGAGCAAGGCTGTTAATTAGAGTTGTAGTTCATGAAATGTTAGCTAAACGAATAGCTTCTACTTTTCTTTATCTAGTTTGCTTATGCTTTTTCTTCAAGCATAAAGTGTAGCATCGAATTTACTGTAGCTTTTAATTTCTTAGTAATTTCATACAATGATCATATTCGTAGACTATGGGATTTACAGAAAACCCTTGTGAAAAGTCACAGGTACAAGGAAATATAAGTTTTGATCTCAATAGGAATTGGGCTTTTCTGTAAGTATTGCTGGGCCAATGAGTCTTTAGGTCATGAACTTTTGCCAGAGAAGTGGGCAGGTTTGTTTAGTTTTATCATGATTGATTCACTCCAACTAAGTTTAGATGCAATACCAGGATATGAATCCTTGTCTCACCTGTCATCACAAAGCGTTTTTTTCGTCATCCTAATTTGAACTGATTTCAGTCATCCATCATGACGTTCCTAGTTAGAGATCTTTGCCGTTCGACATATGGTTGTTTTTTTTCTTAAACATTGAACACCACGGAAGCTCAAGTATACCAGCTTAGAACAAATTATGGGGCATGTTGTCCTCACAAGATTTGATGTGAAAGTTTGGTTTAAAGTTGGAACTTTGATAACTAATAACATCAGCTTCCTTCAACTGTTTCTACAGCTCTTCTATATTGATGTGTTACAAATTGCCATTTCTTGCTTGAAATTAATGTCTAAACAACAAGGTTTGTGCAAGCACGTATACTGCTAATTTTGGCCATGTTAAGAAAAATGAAACTGCTGTACTGTGATTTGAGTCTTTTTAGATATTCAATTTCAATAGATAAGTCACATTTATTAACTTAATGTTTGGAATTGATAATTCATTTTTATATCCAAGAGGTATTCATTCCATTTCTCTTGGCTCGTGATTAAGGCGGTTGTCTTTGGATCTTCAGGTCAGGAAGAGTGCAATGAGATATGTTTTAAGGACCCAGTTTTGAAGGATCATGAGTGGAGTTATTACATTGACAGATCTCCAGGACATGACAATTACTCTTTGGTGTGTCTTCGATCTCCAACTTCTGCAGATACAGTTGTAGTTAATTCATGATGAAACTCTCATTGTGATCATATGATTGGCTGAAAATTTTGGTAAAAACAATTTCTTTATATGCTTAATATGACCGTTGCATTTGCATAATTTATCTAATTAAATATTTGACTCTTCTTCTATAGTTTGATACATGGAGAAAACTTTGCTTCTTGTTGGACTAATCACAATTTGGCCTACATTTTGAATCATAGCAAACTGGCTAACTAATTCACATAGAAAAGTACACAACAGTTCTAAAGCTTTCTGCTACAAGCATGCTATTAATGAAGAGTTCAGTTTTATCTTCATCTTTTAGCAAAAGCTCACATACCTTGCATGCCACATGGACTAATAGAACTTGCTGACATGAAGGGATAATTGTATGGTGAGTGTAGACAAGATAATATTGTATTTTGCTGCTGGTTTGTCTCTCAGAGAGGATAAACAGCAGTAGGAAAGAAAAACATCAAGGTTAGAAAACTGGAGGGATATTACACATTCTTCTGCTAGCTTGTTTCTTATTCTATGAAAGCTTATTAGAAAAACGGTGAAAGAAGAGGAGTGCAAAGGACTTTGGTGATCAAGGAACTATCAATTCATGATCCAATTTTCATACAGATTCTCCTGTGACTGGTGCTCTGTTTAAGAGTTACAATAAGACCAACTGATGACCCATTTGCCAATGTAGACTGTCTTTGTCTTCTTTAGAAAATGTTTGAAATAATTCTTGAACAGAAACAATATTAGTTAATTTTAAATAATTTAGAATGTTGTACTCATATTCGTTATTCTTTGCCTTTATGACATTGATTTGAGCTCTTGTAAAAAGAATATCCAATCTCCAATTATTGATGTGATGTGAGAATTCAGCAAAATTCAAGCTATGGAATTAATAGTTCCCTTTTTGTCTCTATGTATCATATTTGCTTTCCCTTTCTTGAAGATGAGTGTCTATAGGCGATTGTTTATGCTTTTCAAGGAGCAACATCCTGTAGCACAAATTCTTCCATATCTTATTTTGATCAAGTTCTTATAGGTTTTAAAATTGATGCAGGAATGCTTCCGTGCCTGTATTTCTGGCTGTGGTTTCAGAGTAAGAACCTGAAGAACTTATATACTCCTAATAATTTTCTGGAAAAAAATTCCTTATAATTGTCAAATGAGTTATCTCAACTAAAATAACCTATGCTTTAAGCAACAACTGAAATTGAAAATCATAGTCTGTATCCAAATAAATAATTGAAAAGGTAAAAAAAGTTTGTTCTCTGAGGTAAGGGCAAAATGATGTAAAGAACTTAAACTGAATTGATGACCAAAATATGTCTCCTTTCTTGTTGATAACAAACAATTACAAGTATGTTTAGATATTCACAGGAGATTACTACACTATGAACTATTCTGTGAGGGTTAAAAGACCAAATATAGAAGCATGACACATGATATGTTTTCATGGTCCGATGTGATCGAATGAGAGGTAAATGTTTCATCAACTAAACCCCATTTGCTTTCAATTAAATAAAGGAAAATGGGATTTCGGGAGCTCACCCCCCCAGTGTGCCTCTATGCTCTGACATTGTGGCGGGGAAGTGCATTAGTTGTTTTCAGGTAAGTTCAGTTGGATGTAGGTGGATTAGCCACTTATTAGCTTCCAATCTAGACAACTATTTTCATCCAAATCCTGCTTTAGCAGGAACCTCATGCATTGGACTCATCTGTTTCTTATCAGCCATCTCTTACCACTATCCTATGATTTCTTTTTAGCCTAATGAATTCATGGAGTAATGAAATCATCTTCTGACCATCAAAAAATGGAAAGATATTGTCATACTACAAGAAATGATTTTTGGACTATTACGATATCAATGATTTTCTTCTTTATATCTTTGATGTCCTTATTGAGACAATTGGATTCTTAAGATCTTAGCAGGTACCATTTCTTTTAGTTTTTGATATGTTTATCAAGTCATATTGGCCCGTTGGACGCCCATGAGCTAGACTCGGTAATAGAATGATTTGAGTGAGATCAGGTTCAGGCTATGGCAAGCTTATATGAGTGACGTAGACTCAACCTGACTTATAAGTAGGTTAAGAGTTCTTGACTTCGAGTTGGCACGTCTAACTAATGTGTTGGATTGGAGGGTTTAGAAAACTTGTACCTTTTTTAGTAATAACATCCAGTTTAAAGTGACCAAACTTTACCACCAGAAAAAGTAGAAGCTTGAACCGGACCTGACTTGACCGACCCAAGGGATTATGAACTTAACATAAACCTTCCATTAACCCAAGGGGTGATTTTATTTGGTCTGATTTGAGTTCAGACAAGAGTTGATGGCTACTGGTTTGGATTTTTTTCATTACTAGAAATCTAGAGATGATGATTGATGACCACTTCTTGGGTATTACAACACAACTAGTCCACCATATTCTTTCCATACCTTGTGTTGATTCTCTCACTCTATAATCATAATCTCCAACAGAATAATCACTGACTGCCCTGGTGCCAGTGGTAGTTTGTACCAGAGCTAGGTGAACAATAATGAACCACAACTATAAGACATTGGAACACAACAATGAAGGATATATATATATATATATATATATATATATATATATATATAATACACTCAAAGACGACGATGCTTTTCTTTAGAAAAACGCTGACCGATTCAAAGACACTGATCTCAAAAATGATTTGCTGTATCATGCTCCTTACAATCATCAGGATATGACTGATAAGTAGCTTTCTTGGAAGACATTTACGTGCTTGTACTGTGTTCTTAAAAAAATTTCATATATTTGAAGCTATTTTGAGATTGACCTAAAAAAACCATCTTAAAGAGAGAATATTGCTTTGAGTAACTTGTAAAACAATTTTCAACGACACTTTACATGTGGCATCAAGGATGGGCAGGTTGGGCCTTTACGGTTCTTTTCCATCACCAAGTTTTTCCAAAACTAGCAAGCACAGTGTGAGATCAGCTAATGAACTATATGATACATCTGTAGCTTCATACAAGCAGTGCTCTTGAAAAACAGTGTTTTAACAAATTTATCCTGATGGCATGTGGAGAATTTTCAAGTTTAATTTTGGCTTAGCTCATAGTACCTGAAAGTGTTGTCTTTTACTTGTTAAAGGATCATGTGTTTGTCTGAAATATATGTTACAGCTGTTGAGGTGCTAAATCTGATAAGTTTATTGGAGTAATAGGGGATGATGGACATTGATTTGCTAACTTGGTCTCGCTTTCTTTTTCTTGCTTAAACTATAGCTGACTTTGTAATTGTTTGACACAGTTTGATATTCCGAAAGAGAGAGTAGAAGAAGTTCGACCAAAGAGGCCACCTAAGCCAACTGCGGTCGAACCTAAACCTGTGTTACCACATGTCGAGCCTAATGCAGCTCCTGACGATTTACCTTCCACATCAGCATAAAATTCACAGTATACAAATATCATACACCAACCAATGGAGGCTTCAAATATTGGTGCAATACAGTCTGTGACCAATTTCTATCTTACATCCTCATAATGGATTTTTTTCTATTTGTCACTTTCACGCTAATCAGAGCTCCTACAACATGAAAAAAGATGGATGATGGGATTCTAGACATCAGCTGACAAGGGTTGAGCTCTGTGAACTATATTATTGAGGGCATACTGGGACATTTGTTTTCTTGACTGCCTTTCAGTCTACTTGTATCATGGAGTTAAAAAGGTGGACTTGTACGAGCTAGTTGCTAACCGAACCTGTGCATCTCTCTCTGGTTGTTCTCACCCATCATTTTGGTGTGTGGATGTTCTTAATCTTTGATACCACCGTGGGTATCTGAATGGGTTTATCATTTACGATATATCATTCATTCAACGCTTTGTCTTGACCATTAGTGTATTGCAGATCATAGATTTGATAGTTCTATCACCTTTCTCTTTTCCATGGTGATATAAGTTTTTTGCAGGTTTCATCCGAACGCAGGCCGAAAGTCCGCCGAATGAGTCCAAAGTTCCGGCAAAGGAACAGAAAAAGATGATGGGAGAGGATAGAGTTTACTATCTTCTTCTTTTGCTGTTATCTGCCGAGTAAACGCCTTCAGCAGAAAGAAAGGCCACTTCCGGAAGTGGGGAAGCCTCGTGCGGGAGAACCATTCGACGGCGCCAAATCCATATCCTTCGTGTTGATCCTATAACCTCACGTCCAGTTTTAGGATTAAGATAGATCCTTCTAAACCACACATCAATACCATTGGCGCTTCTTCGCGTCCAAGACACAGAATTCTACAAAGAGTCCACGCATCCTCCCAACATCTCTTTCTTCCCACGTGTGAAAGACGCACGCACGCACGCACGGTCGGTGAGGAAGCCTTGGGACGCAAACGTCATCCGTTCCAGAAGGAGAGGGTCGCTCCCGTCGCGTGCGTCCACACGCTGAACCCCACCTTGTCATCCATCGACTCTTCGGCCCAAAACAGTGGGTTGAGTCTTCTCATTGCCTTGTAAATGAAACCTGTGTGCTTACCCTCTCGGTTTATTCTGCCCTTCCTTTCATGTTTGTTGTATTCTCATCGCATGTGCGTGTTTTTACGTGAAGCCTAAATGTCGTAGAGAAATGAGAAATAAAAAACATCCCAAATGCAGGCAAAAATGTAATGCATCATTTCACGACGATCGTCATCTCCACTCCTTTCCAACCGGTTGTCGCACCTCCTCCCTCCTCCAGGCTACTCCCGGTCGCCCCGTCTATAAAATGTACCCGTCGCCGCCCGTTTCGAACACCCGTGGCTCGTGACTCCTTTCGCTTCCTTTTTGACCACCGCTTGTTCCTGCCACCGTTGCATGACAGTGAACTCCCTGCAGACCCGCGAGGTGTCGGACCTCTGCATCGGTAAGCCGGCGACCAGGCCGCTCTCGCTCTCCGCCACCGTAGGCGACGCCCTCCTCGCCCTCAGGAGCGGCGGCAGCGACGACCGCCTCGTTATCTGGACCGCCGACGGTCCCGCTCCCGAGAGGAAGGCCTGCGCCGGGAACGTGTGCTTGGTCGACGTCCTCTGCTACCTGTGCGCCGAGCAGAACCTCGACGCTCCCATGGCCGCCCTCGGCGCGCCCGCCTCCGCCCTCCTTCCTCCATTGACCGCCGCCTCCCTCGTCCGCCGCGTCGAGCCCAGCTGCAGGTACGCTTCGACCTTAATTACACCATCTCGATCATTGTGCCGTAGAGATTTCTCAGATTTTGTTGCTTCTTTTGGCGACCCGCAGCATTCTGGAAGCACTCGACGCGATTCTTGACGGGGCGCAGAGCCTGGTGGTGCCCATCCGCGCCGCCGCATCGCCGAGGAAGTTCACCTCCGGCTCCGCCGCCGAATTATGCTGGCTGACGCGGGAGGATTTCGTCCGTTTCTTCCTCAACTCCATCGCTCTCTTCTCGCCGGTCCCCGCCCTCTCCGTCACCGACCTCGGCCTCGTCCGCCCCGCTGCCCTGGCCGTCCGGCCCCAGGACCCTGCACTCTCCGCCCTCCCCCTCATCCGCGCCGCCCTCGCAGAGCAGACATCCGTCGCCGTCGTCTCCGACGACGGCCGCCTCATCGGCGAAATCTCCCCCTTTACCCTGGCCCACTGCGACGAGCGCGTCGCCCCCGCCCTAGCTGCGCTCTCCGCCGGCGACCTGATGACCTTTGTAGATTGCGTCGGCGCCCCGCGGAAGTCCGCCATGAGGTCCATCAGGGCCCAACTAAGGGCGAAGGGGCTGCTGGGCATGCTCGAGCTCCTCGACGCCGACGTCTCCCCGCCATTCTCGCCGTCGACGTCCTCGTCCGAGTCCGACGATGAATCCTCGCCATCCTCCCCGCCCTTGTCGAACGGGAGGGGAAGGCCGAGGGTGACGAGGTCGGCGTGGAGGTCGGGGAGCTACTCAGCGAGGATGGGGAGGCGGTCGGAGGAGGCGATCGTGTGCCACCCTTGGAGCTCGCTGGTGGCCGTGATGATACAGGCATTGGCGCATCGAGTAAGCTACGTGTGGGTGGTCGATGACGACGACTACTATCTCGACGGGATCGTCACGTTCTCCGACATCCTTGAGGTCTTCCGGGAACAGCTAGAGCAGACAGGGACTTGCATTTGATGGCCAGAGAGTAACGCATCTCTTGTGGAATTAACGTATGTGAAAAAGGCTGTCCTTAACCTTTTGATCTCATCTAATGCCGCTGGGCTGTGTACTACTTAATCTTCAAAATGATGCAATGCCGGAGGAGACAGGTGAGGTATCTACGTCGTCGGCGTCGCACTACTCTATCTCGCCTGCCTCCTTCTCCTCACTCATTATCATTTGATTCTATATTTTCTCCATCGACATTGATTGATGTAAATGTTTCATCACTATTTACTCTTTCTTTTTCTCGTTTATATTCAAATTTACATAGATAGATAGATCACTACTACAACAATAATCCATGGTATCATTCTCCTCCGTCATCATTATTAAAAGTATCAATTATTTTCATACCATTTATATATTTATCTTTTTTCAAATCGATGATTAAATAATTTTGATGAGGATAGTAATTATGATAAGACTCAGTTGACGTCAGCTGACGCCTCACGCCTCGATCGGCGTGACTGTACTCGGTCAACCGAACCGGAACACCGGCCGAGGCGCATTAATGCCTACTTAGGCTCGGTTCTTTACGCCACGCCAACGCCCATGTCAGACGCTACCAGCCTGCCTCCTGCAGGCAGGCACATCAAACAACAATAAGCTTCCCTATAAATACCCTCTCGTTCATCAAAGATAAGGGGGGAGACAAAAACACTTCTTCTCCTGAAACCCCCTCCACATCTGCTAACTTGATCGTCGGAGGGGTCGGGTTGAGCTTCTCGACCCGACCTTTGTGCAAGTGCGAAGCCGAGGGTCCCCGCCGGACGCGCGGACGAGGAGCTCCTGCCCGGAGGAAACGACGACCCCGTCCTGATCGGACCATCGCACCAGACTGACCCCGCGGGCTCGAGGGACGCCCCAGAGAGATCCCCGTCGTCTGGACCCGAACCGAGCCGCGTCGGCCCCGAGGCCACGGCTCCTAGGTTGTTTACCACAACAGTTTGGCGCTAGGAGGGCCCGGAATGTCGGATGATCGCCCGAGCGGCTCAGATGAGCCCACGGTTGAGAGGTCACACCCGACCGAAGCCTCGGGGGAACATCCCCCGCACGGAGACCATCGTGACAAATGCCCCGCAACGACCTCCGAACGATACTAGCGAATATTCAACGACCCGGGTTTATCGCCGCCTGACGGCGCCCCAGCCAACTCAACGCTTGTGTCACCCGAGGCCTTTCAGGACCTCGCACGTCAAGTCCGAGCTCTGATGGAAATGGTGCAAACCATTATCCCGCTCGTTTCGCATCCGGCGCACCCGCCCGCAATCGAACCACTACGACAGCGCAAGGCGCCCGTTCGGGCCCACATGACACTACCGGAGCCCCCCACTTCGCCTCGGGTCCGACCGGCCCCACTCGGGGATCCAGTGATGGCAAACCCGAGCGACCGCTCGGAACTCGAGGTACCCTCTTCGGACTCCCTGCGGGCCCAGTTGCGTTTCGTCTGCCAACGACTCGACGAGGTGCAGGAAGAGGTTCACAGGTCCAATGGAGAGCTCGGGGAGGATGTACACCGAGGGTCCCCCTTCTCACCCGAGATACGAGATCTGACAGTCCCCCCGGACTTCCAGCTCCCCTCTCTGGATGCTTACCATGGCTCCACCGACCCAGCGGACCATGTAGCTGCTTTTCGCGCCCAAATGGCGCTATACAGAACCTATGATGCCCTGATGTGCAGAGCGTTTCCTACCACTCTAAGAGGGCCGGCCCACGCGTGGTATGGCGGCTTGAAGACCGGAACGATCGCTTCCTTTGGCCAGCTCGCCAATGACTTCGAGTTCCACTTCGTAGCCTATGCACGGCCAAAGCCCTCCGCGACACTGCTCCTCGGACTCAAACAAAGGGAGGATGAGCCCCTCTCACATTTTGTGGATCGCTTTGCCACGCAAATCCGGGGCTTGCCGGACACTCACCCCTCTCTGTTAGTGCAGGCATTTATGATAGGCCTGCGACCTTCCAGATTCCTTTGGTCCCTCGCGAAACGACCTCCCACTACGGTGCCAAAGATGCTCCAACGGGCTAACCGGTACATCGCAGCGGAGGCCTGGGCGGCCATGAGGAGAAGGGACGACCTCCGACCGCGGGCTCCATGAGAGAGGCCAAGCACCCGTGGTGGCTACCCGATGTAGTCCTCATGAAAAGAAATCTAAGCCCTGCCTCAATCTCTTCTGAGCAAAGGTTCAGTATTTACCTGACCCCCTCTCGGCTCGCGGTTGGCCCCGGCTTAAACCCTTCTGAATCTACACGGCTCGGCCGTAGACTGCCCGAGTCCACCTCAGCGCGCCCTACCCACCTGAGTCACCACTTTCGGCCTTTGCCAGATCCCTCAACTCTTCGGCCCCATACTCCCTGGGACACACCTGCGCGGCCAGCCCGCCCGCGTCGTGCTCCTCGGCTCCTCGGCCCCTTGACCCGAGACACACCTGCGCGGCCAGCCCGCCTGCGTCGTGCTCCTCGGCTCTTCGGCCCCATGCTCCCTGGGACACACCTACGCGGCCAGCCCGCCCGCGTTGTGCTCCTCGGCTCCTCGGCCGCATGATGCCCGAGACCACACCTGCGCGGTCTGCCCGCCTGCGTCGTGCTACTCGGCCGCATGACGCTCGAGACCACGCTTGCGCGGTCTGCCCGCCTGCGTCGTGCTCCTCGGCCGCATGATGCCCGA